CATTATAACTATCTCATCTATGTACAACGTAAGTTACCTAAACCGACGACGGAGAGCAGGGTCAAATGTGCGAGACATCTGGCACTGCAAGGGAACCATGTCCCGCTGTGAACAATTACGGACTGACCGATCTACTCTATACAGCCTTCGAAAGTCTACTGCTGAACATAGGTCCCACAGATTACCTCTTAGGGAAGATTTCACCATAGCTGCCACGCTTGGCAAGCGTGTCTGGCAACCGCAGTTGTTAATATGTTGAGTTGTTATCAGGAAGAAGCTACAGCTCATCTCATGTTTCAGTGTCAATCAGTCGCCTCTTTTGACACCCACTCGGCAATATTGGGTAGTAGATAGATGTAGGAAAGAAATTATGTTGAACAAAAAATAATCTATAATAATTATGACGTTAGAATCAATACACTCAAAAACCAAAATAAAAACTATGCGAAAAATCTGAGCGTCGAACATTTTCTGCCTTTCAGTACAAGTTTTTACGCATAAGTATGAAGTTATAAGTTATAAGAAATGTAATATAATTGTAAGGGAATTTCTGAATAAATTAAATTACGAAGACGCAGAGAAGTTGTTAGAAATTCTAAAAATGTTTTTGTATTATTTTATTTATTATATAATATAATTTAACTATTTAAATTATCTAGTGTACTACATAATAAAACTTATAGTGTAAGTGATAGATAGTCTGAAACACAGGTAGTCAACTATTTGTTCCTGTATGTAAACATGTGTAATTGGAAATGAAATAAATATTATTTATTTAATATTTTATATTATAAGCCAGCGCTTGACTACCGTTCCACTTGATGTTAAGTGGTGATGCATCCGAAGATGGCAAAGTACACTAAAGCCTGTGTTCACTTTTGCCAGGTGCAGGAAAATTTATTCCACACTTTATTTTTACCATATTGAAGGATTTTACTTTCTTTTCTATGGGAATAATTTTGCAAATTTTAAATAACATTTCATATTTTTTATCTAGAGCATTTCTCGTTTTAGGATCAAATTATATCTTTAAGAATCTTATCTGTATAGACGTTATTTTGTTTGACCTGATTTGTTTCCCTTCGTTGCCTCTTACGAGACTTACATATAGGGTAGTAGACATTATTACACTACCACTTCACGGTTAATAATCGTACATCTCTTGTAAGCAAGAACAAAACACCCAAACTGGTGATGGTGAAAGGATTCAATAGAAAGGCATACTAAGAGGTATATTTTCACCAATATACCTCTTAGTATGCCTTTCTATTGAATCCAACCCGGGTCCGATTCCCGCCGGCACTAGTGAAGTTGTTAATTGCAATTTTAAGTGCTGATTTACCACGTGTTCGGCCGTGAAGGAAAACATCGTGAGGAAACCTACATGTCTGAAAAATCCACTTTTGAAGATATACGAAGTCCCCAAGTACGCATTGGGGCAATCTGTCGGACACTTTCTTGCCCTAAAACCCTCTCAAAAGTTAAAGGAGGCCTGTGCCGAGCAGTGGGACGTATATATAGGCTGCAACTTTAACTTTTATGTAATGTGGCTTCCAAAAATATAGTAATGTTAAGTGTAAATAAAAGAGTAGACTAATTAATAATGGATATAGGGACTGATTTAACACAATAAAATTTAATGGATTGGTTTTAAAAAATCAAATATGGTTGGTCGATGGGCACAAATGGAAAAAGAGCATATTATATTAAAAAAGTAAAACACGTGCCACTACTAGCTGTAGAACTCCTGTCATTTCCGAGAAGAATTTGAGGTAAGAAAGAACCCACTGCGCTGCTGAAGGCAGATATCACATGTTCTAAAAGTATTTGTTTTGCCAATATAGTTTTCGGCATGAAGGTATCCTTACTTTATGTGGTTGCAGACAAAAACCCCGCGTCATAAATTATCTGCGATTTCAAGTGCAGATTTAGCCCGAATGATGGAAAACATCGTGGGAGAATTTAAAATCATCGATATGTGAAATTAACAATAATCGTTGTACAAGAACGAGAGGAGGCATATGTATTTCTAGTAGTAAGACGCACGTTGGACGTATGTAGGCTTGTTCCTTTGCCTTATTATTTTTAAAGTAACAATAAGGAAAGGTCTGACATTAATACCACCAATAATCAAACCGCATTTTCAATAATTCACCAAAATCCACCTTATTGCAAATTCTTTTTGCTTTGATATTCAAAGACTAATTAAATTTCATATAAGACATCCCGCCGACACTTTCACATCAAAGTGAATACGAAACAAATTAAAACACTATCACGACATACCAAAATATAAAACATAACCCTTAACTGCATTAAAATAAGGTATAGATTATAATAACCGTGATTTATAAAAGGCAAAAAGATGTCCTCAAGTATTAGGGGTATTAATTTAATATCTGTCAGCTTCTGGTACTTATTATGAGGCATTCGACACTCAAAGTGTGCGATAGTTACGCGAAAAGCTTTACGGGATCTATAATCCTAAGGATTACAGTCTCACTTTTGCTGTACATACCGTATATTCTATGTTCACTATATAGCATTTAATAGTAATAATCCTTTAAATAAAATAAAATTCAAGGTTTTTACTTAATTACCGTTACCGGTACCGCTGTTAGTTAATAAAGACCACTGCTGATATAGGCCTCCCCCATAGATTGTCTCTTAGGGGAGATATTTGCCATAGTTGCCACGCGTGGCAAGTAGGTTAACAACCGCAGTTTTTTTTTAAATCGTTGTTAGGAAGACGCTGCTGCCCTTTAATTATTTCATTGGCTTTAAATTTCGAATACTTGACGTTATTATATAGCTTTTTGGTGAGTGCCATATATAAAAACTGCAATTCAAGGATAAAACACGTGGTAGAGCCATGCTGCAGTTATATTAGTAGTATAGTTGTAGGACGAATAGGTCGGCTCGACTGGGGAAGGACCACGCTCTCACAGAATACCAGGGTAAAATAGTGGCTTAATGCTGCTGTGTTTCGTATGGTGAGTGTAGAGAATCGGACACCCTTTTTACTGGAAACGAGGCATTCCATCTTTTTGATTTGTAATTGAGTATAAATGTAGATGTCTATGGGCCGCCATAACTATTTACCATCACGTGAACTGTGTGCACTGCTGTCACCATATCCTATAAAAAAACGCTTACCTCTTGAACGGTTTCCCGCGTTTTCGTAAAAGGATTGCTTAGTAGCTGTGACTTGGTTACTCACGGTGGATAAAGGATAGTCCATGTGGCTGACCTGAGTTACAGGGCCAGCCAAGGTTTCCGAACCCAGTGGGCTTAGCGAGGTGGACTGCGGCGTAAGTTGTATTTTAACTGCCAGCCCACTGCAGCCAAGGTGAGGTTGCGAAGGAAGAGAAGTGTTGGTATGGTATTGAGTCACTTGTCCTATGCAGCTGAATGCAATGTTGCTAGATCCGCGGGGTGAAAAGGGTGTCGGTATTGCAAGGTGCCGCTTTCCCTACCTTTCGCGGCTGTAACTTGGTCGGTGTCGGAGCCATAGACCAATTCCGCCACTGGGAAGGGGAAGTTTAGTTCTTCGTTACAACTTGTCTAAAGCCACAGTTAAAACAGAAACAGAGACAAACTTTTTTATTCAATATAGATTATAAATAATACTTATTGAAAGTCTCTTTTTTATTTTATCACTGGTTCGGAAAGTAACTTGTTTCCCGGGAAGAACCAGCAAGAAACCCAGCGGGACTATTTAAAAAAAAAGTAACAGCTTACAATCACGTATGTTACAATAACACAAGACAAATTAGAAATAGCTTGGTAGCGATCACCCTTCCCAGGGGTTATCATCATCCATAAATTCTTTTATATTATAATAACCCTTTTTATACAAACTTAGTTTCATAAAGTTTTTGAACTAAGTGCAGGTCAAATTTCGTACATTTTCTGTGATTTTGTGATTTTGTTTGATCTAGTTGTTTAATCTCTATTTGTTGAATTTAGGTCTCCATAAAAGGGCTAATGGACGGGATATTTGCTAAAGCATGCCACGCTTGGCGGATGGGTTGGCAACTGCTGATTTTATTATTTTGAGTTATTATTAGGAAGGTGGTGCTGCCTATTTCTCGGAATCCGGTAGCCTGGTGGTGCCGAGTGCACGATGGCACAATTACTGGCCCCACGGGCCATGGCCTCCTCGTTACGTACTCGGGGTATGTCTGTTACGTAGGTCCCGCGCGCCTTACCAGAAGAGGTACAGAGGGGGAGGAGTTAGCTTCTCATAACGAGGGGTCGCCAGTAGCACGTGTTCTAAAGCATTCCCGCATCCTGGCCGATATGAGACGAAAGTATAATAGGGGCAAAGGATTTTAGTCGCCTTTATCTCCGTGACGCGGGTATGCGGAGGCTTTACCCCACGTATAAGTTATAACCTATATACGTCCCACTGCTAGGCACAGGCCTCCCCTCATTTCTGAGAGGGTTTTAAGGCAAGGTAAGATTGTTGACTTCACGTGTTTTCGAAATATTTTTTCCTATTTCTCAAATATGCACGTTTCCTCACAATGTTTTCCTTCACCACCGAACACGTGGTAAAACAGCACTTAAAATGTAGTGGTACACCTTGGAAGCTCAGATGGTTAGCGCTCGCTGTAAATTTCATAGTACACGAACAACCCGGGTTTGATCCCTGACGGCACCAATGAAATTGTTAATTGCAAATTTAAGTGCTGATTTACCCCATGTATAAACGGGGATAAATGTAAAGCAAGTTCGATCCCCGTATTCACCGAAACAAATGTTATTTTGACCCTTTTCTCATTGATAAAGCAAAACATCGCTCACGATGTTTTCCTTCACCACCGAGAACGTGCAACTTGGCACTTAAAATTGAACTGACCAAAACTTTTAAATTCGTGTCGTCAATACAAACGGCGACAAGGAATATAAATAAAATTTAAAACAGGAAAATTTCGTCAAACATGTTTATTTGTGTACAGTTAAAGGCACCTGCATATTTAATTTCGACACCAAAGCTATTGATTTCCCAAATCTTCGACCTCCTCTTCCAGAACGTTCCACAAAAATCGATTTCTGATTTCGGCAGTCCGTTCATCATCAATGGTTCCGTCATCACTCTGTGCATTCAATATGGATTCCAAATCTTCGTCTAAAAACGATGTCACCGATAGTAGAGTTGAATCAATAATGTTGACTGAATCACCCGCGTCTCCCCTTTCTGGCTGACTTCTGTGGGTACCTCTGGTCTAAAAATATAACATTGGATATTAATTGAGTTGCTTTTCAAAACGGCTTTGGACACCTCGTCTATGCTATGGTATATATACTATGGTATAGCGAAGGGCGGGCGTCCTTTATTGTAGGCAGAATTTAATTTAATCATCAAGATGGTTTTGATGACCGCAGTACTCGCATCTTTGACTCGGTTCACCATCACCAGTTTGGGTGTTTTGTTCTTGCTTACAAGAGATGTACGATTATTAACCGTGAAGTGGTAGTGTAATAATGTCTACTACCCTATATGTAAGTCTCGTAAGAGGCAACGAAGGGAAACAAATCAGGTCAAACAAAATAACGTCTATACAGATAAAATTCTTAAAGATATAATTTGATCCTAAAACGAGAAATGCTCTAGATAAAAAATATGAAAGGTTATTTAAAATTTGCAAAATTATTCCCATAGAAAAGAAAGTAAAATCCTTCATCATATTTAAACAGCATGGTATGGGGACATTAAAGAAACTTAATACATATATAATGGCGAAGCGCCAAATTACACAAAGGAGGAACTATCTCATACCTAGGATTGAAAATTACTTTGGACGGCGTATAAGGCAATGGATAGCTCCAACTTTGTGTAATGAGGTAGCGGATGTATATTATGACGAAAGACAAACGAGACGAGAAACTAAGTCTCAGCTCAAAGCCATCTTGAGGAAACATTAACTGTCGTTGTGTCCCTAGTAGTGAATGTTTCTTTTATTATTTTTGTGTTAATTTAAGTATTTATAATCACCAGATATTGTTGTTAAGGAGTATGAAACGATAAACTGTTGCATTGCCGACAACGTGGATTACAGTTTGGCAAAATTTTATGTACACTCTTTCTAAGAATTAATTAAAAAAAAGGTGATGGGCAGTAGGGCTATAACATGCTAATAACAACTAGAAAAATAAAAAACTGCGATTTCAAACCCGCTTGGCCCTCGATATATACTAATAATTTTATGTCAAACATAATTTATAGGATTTTAATTCAATGATTCTCTCTCTCTCTCTCTCTCTCTCTCTCTTTCTCTCTACTCTCTCATATCTCTCTCTCTCTGTTGGTTAAAATTATCATCATCATATGTGTTAAAATTTATTTTGCTTTGAAATTTAGAATTTTTGATAACAGGAACAAAATAGATTTAATTTACAATACAAAGACTCCACTCCATTCAGTCTTATACTTAGGCGCTTGTGTAAGCGTGGCAACTATGCAATTATTATAAGGAAATCTATGGGAAGGCTTATGGTCAGCAGTGAAATTTCAGAGGCTGTGATGAATAAATTAATGATACTCGAGATGACTATATCACCAACTAGTGGAGACCTTATAAACTTTTTGGTATTTCTCACAGTAGCTGGCACCCACGGTGTGACAGATTACGGAACAAACATGAACCATAAATAAGATTTTTAATAGACGGTGCAACAACTTCCTCGTTATACACCCTTCCTGCCAACCACCTGCTTAATCCCAGGTCTTTCCACGGGATATTTACACCTAATGCAAGCCGTCGCTTGACTACTATCTCAGCACACTTTGATGAGGACGGTAAAATGCACTGGTTCAGCACTAGAAACACCTCACTTTGACATTATAATAAATTCTCTCAAGAAGAAGAAACCTATTTCCTGCTGAGGACTGTTGAAGAGCTCATAAGGATGATACCAGTAGGAATGAAAAAGAAACTACTGATAGGGGTGGAAGCTTAGCTTTCTCTGCGTGTGTGATGGCAGCGTAAGAGGATTCATCACCCTATTTCGTCCCTTAAATGTCGTAAGAGGTGACTGTAGGATATGCTCGGAAAATCTTATGACTTCGATAGATGACGGTATAACCGTTAACGAAAACCCTTACAATATCCAGACCAGCGGCATGAAACAACAACAAAAATGCGAGAATGGTACTGAAATTGTCAGTGCGCCTGCCTAAAAAGACGATTAAAGCAAACCCTCCCTACAACGAGAGAGCTCTGTATCCAGTAGTGGAAGTTCAAAGGCTAATGATGAAGAAGAACTCTCTACTAACTGACGGAGAAACTTTAAAAAAACGCTGAAGTTACATATCACAGACTGGTGATAGGAAGCATTACCACTTCAATTTTTTTATAGAATAAAGGTGACAAACGAGCACACAGTCCACATAATGGTAAGTGTACACTGTGACTAATAGACATGTACATTTATCCTCGATTAAGGATCAAAATTCAGATGAGTTTTCACCCCTGAGGACTAAGACGGAATGCCTCGTTTCCAGTAAAAAGTGTCTCCGGTTCTCTACACTCAGCATCCGAAACACAGCAGCATTAAGCTACTATTTTACGAGTATACTTTGAGAGTATAGTCCTTCACGGATCGAGCCGACCCATTCATGCTACAACCATAACATAGGTGCAGCATGGCTCTATCACTTAAAAACCAACAGCCATGTATTCACCAATCTGCCTATCCAGCGTGGTGAGTGTGGGCAAATCTCTCAGGTAAAACATGCCTGCTGGCACTACCTTGGAAAAACCTTTGTCAAGCTCCAGAGGTAAAGGCAATTGAACTACTGACTACACTGTAAGTCACCCTAACTGGAAGACTGAATGTAGTTTTAGTATTGTTAGTATGTGGTAGAGCCACGCTGCAGCTATATTATGGTTGTAGCACGAATGGTTCGGCTCGACCAGGGAAGGACTACGCTGTCACAGAATACCAGCGTAAAATAGCAGCTTAATACTGCTGTATTTCTTATGGTGTGTGTAGATATCCAGAGATTCTCTTTTACTGGAAACGAAGCAATCCGTCTCAGTTCTCAGGCGTGAAAACGCATCACCGTTTTGATTCTCAATCGAGGATAAATGTCTATGGGCCAAAGCATCCACTTACCATCAGGTGGACTGTGTGCTCGTTTGTTATCCTTATTCTATAAAGAAATTAAGTCTATTTTGTTCCTACCATCAAACAGTCTAAAATTGAAAGCAAAATAAATGTTAACACATATGATGATAATTTTTAACCAACACACCGAGAGAGACGAGAGAGAGTATGAGGGAGTAAAAGAGAGAGAGAGAGAGAGTGCGAGGGAGAGAGGAAGCGAGAGAGTATCATTAAATTAAAATTCTAAAGTTTTAACATAAAATTATTAGTATATTAACGAAGCTAACGTCACTGTCTGTCTGTCTCACCATTAAATTATGTGTAATTACCATAGAAAAACTGTAATAAGGTCCCTTAGAATATAAATAAGGACACTATGCTTATAAGTACTCTAAACACGGTCCATGTTAAGAAATACCCATATTATCATCCAATGATAATTGTTTGTACAATAATAGCTTTTGATTGTCGACATAAATGGCGATTTTACAATCCTCAGATAAATGTTATGCGCAAGATAAAATACAATATTATACAAATTAAAAATTACAGATAACGAATGATATAGTTTAACTGTCCCACTTTTATATTAAATCAGAATATGATTTATTTGATGATTAACTTTTCTTCAATCTGACGATTGTAAAATAAGATGTATAAATAAAATATATAAATTTGACAAATACTTACATCAATAATAGCCATGTGCAGTATTGGAACCTCCAGTTTCAATGGCGGGATTGGCTGCGGCTCTTCGTCTAAGTAAGAATATTCAGTTTTCACCTGTATATTATTGCATATTAATAATAACGCAATGCCCGTGATTTCAATAATCCTATTGTCATCAAATTATTATTTAACTGTCTAGTTAGAAGTAAGTTAGAATTTGCTGAAAAGTGTAGTGCCCCATTCACTCTATTACCTGCATTTACTCGTCGTTCTATATCCCTATCATATCTACCATCCCTGCTAAATACACATCCCAAATACACAAACTCATCCACTTGCTCAATTAACTCTCCTTCTATTCTTATTTCACATACCGTTTTGCTTTCTTCTCTTTCAAAAACCATCACTTTCGTCTTACTTGCGTTCACTTTCATTCCCCTTTCTTTTAATTCCCAGTTCATTAATGTAACCATCATTTGCAACTCAGCCGCCGATGACACAAATATGACTTGAATTTTCGGTGATTTAGTCGAATATTCGGCCAAATACGAATATTCGGTAAAGCGGTAAATATGCCGAATACCGAATATAAAACGAATATTCGACACATCTCTACTAAATATCGTTCAGGCTAGGCTCAAAAAGGCTAGGCTGTTAACTGAAAGGCTAATTAAGCTAGTTGGCTGCAGCAGCATTACAACATTCAAATTAATCAATTACTTACTCTTCTCAGTCGCCACTTCTCAAGCAATTCGTTCGAATATTGTAACCCTTGCCTGCTATCCCGGAGGAGTTCGTCGATGCGATCACTTTTCTTCTTTACACTGTATTTGCTAAGCGCCTGAAAGCAAACACTCACTGTATATGCTGTAATTATTCCGAAGACTATACAATAATTTAATCATTTTATCCTAATATCCTGATCGGGATCACCAGGATAATCCTTTCTAAAACTATCACAGCTCATTATTAATGCGTGTTTTTTAAGTTTTCTTAAATGTTAATATTATAAACTTTATTAAACTTACTGTCATTATTAATGCAACAAATATAACTTCAGAAATCAGTACAGGTAGGTTTATCGGTTTCTCATTCTCAATTACTTGGAGTCTTGCCTCTTCTTTTATGGTTTTCTTTATGAAACTGACAACTTTGCATGTCAGTCCTTTAACCGTATGAAGCATTCCATTGCCATAAATGCAGTCAACCAACAAAAGACTTGAGAGAATTATTGAAAAGAGTAGAATTTTTCTCGTTTTGAACATAATTACGAAAATTTTGATACTAAATTATCACTGAAAATATTTTAACGTGATATTTAATTCATAATTTTTTAAATTTTGTGGTTATTTTTAATGTCAAGACGACACTGTCATTTTTTCCTTAACATAAGTTTAAAACGGTCTTATGTAAAATTAGATGACCCGTTCATTACATATGATTTTTTCACTAAGCATTCTTTAGAGGGGCGGGGCTTTGTTTAGCACTCAACTTCTGAAATACTGTAATATAGATGATGATAGTATTCTTATATTATTTAGACCACTGCATTCAAGTACTATAATTATTCAAGTTTTTAAGCTATTGCATAGCTTCTATCGCGGGCCTTGAGCGCGGGGACCGAATCCAGAAATTCCGTAACGAAAAAAACCTCACGCTCCCCACTCCGACGGCCACGGAGGTGTGGCGTTGAAAGCCGTGCATCGTCTAACGTCGCCTCTACACGTTGGCCAACACAGTGGCGAATGTAGTGGCGAATACGGCGCCTCTACACGTTGGCCAACACAGTGGCGAATGTAGTGGCCAATAGCATTGGCCAACGTGTAGACGGGGTGTTTGGGCTTCATTGGTATATATTGGAACGATGGCCCGCAAGTTGGTGCGAGATCCGTGTGGTGTCGGTTTTTTACAAAAGATCAAAGGATTGTTGGCAGAGTTTGGTCGCCGCGTCCACACGTTGGCCGCGAGTTTAGTTTGCTACAAGCTCCCAGAGTGATTACACGCATCTGATTAAAATTTTATATTCACGCTTTGTAGGGTGGATGACCCAATTACCAGTCTTTTAGTGCCAATTTCAACTTTAAACATTCCTACTACTTTAATTAGCGCGATTTAATTATTTTTAAACATTTGTTTTAATCGATAAGCTATTTATAAAAAAAATAATGAACATTTCTTACAATCAGATTATTACGAGAACAATTTTAAAATGAAAAAAAATTAAGCACGTCGTTTATACGTGGTAGAACCATGCAGTTATATTAGAAGTATAGTTGTAGCACGAATTGGTCGGTTCGACCGGGGAAGGACCACGCTCTCACAGAATATCAATTAAAATAGTAGCTTAATGATGCTGTATTTCGTATAGTGAGTGTAGAGAACCAGAGACACTTTTTAAAGGAAACGAGGCATTTCATCTTAGTCCTCACGGGTGACAATTTGCATTTTGATTCGTAATCGAGGATAGATGTAGATGTCTATGGGCCACAGCAAACAGTTACCATCAGGTGGACTGTGTGCTCGTTTGTCACCCTATCCTTACATCAAATGTCTGATAGAAAAGCAAGTACATGTTTTGCTAAACTTTAAAAACAAAACCCAATTTTAAAACATAGACTAATCGATTATAACTCCTTTAACTTTAAAATGAGTTAAGTTCTAATTAATGGTATTTATTCTAGTTTCTGATGCATGTAAAGAATAAATAAAGCTAATCGTATATCGTATATCTGTTTACAGCCTCATTAATATTCACACTTGGATTTTCTCCTGTATCGCGGAGGCAACTTACAAACATAAATTGCACAAGGATACACATCCAGACCCGAAACAATTATTTGTAGGATATACAAATACTTGTTCCGTGCGGGATTCAAACCCGCGACCCCTGGGACAGCCACTCATTGCCAAGCCACTGCGCCACGGAGCCGTCGTCTAAAATAAAATAAATTCGTCCGCCATTCGCCACTACATTCGCCACTGTGTTGGCCAACGTGTAGAGGCGACAATATATTCACCGAGAGTTGGTGACGGCGTCCACACGTTGGAAGGTCGTTCAGTTTACTTCGGTTCGGGCCAATGTGCGGACGAATTTATTTTATTTTAGACGACGGCTCCGTGGCACAGTGATTTGGCAATGAGTGGCTGTGCCAGGGGTCGCGGGCTTGAATCCCGCACGGAACAAGTATTTCTATATCCTACAAATAATTGTTTCGGGTCGCGATGTGTGTCCTTGTGCAATTTATGTTTGTAAGTTGCCTCCGCGATACAGGAGAAAATCCAAGTGTGGGGGGTAACGTTTTTATAAAATAATTATAAAAGAATAGTGAATATTAATGGGGCTGTAAATAGATATACGATATACGATTAGCTTTATTTATTCTTTACATGCATCAGAAACTGGAATAAATACCATTAATTAGAACTTTACTTATTTTAAAGTTAAAGGAGTTATAATCGATTAGTCTATGTTTTAAAATTGGGTTTTGTTTTTAAAGTTTATCAAAAAGTGTACTTGCTTTTTCTATCAGACATTTGATGTTGGTATATAAAAAAACACCTTATAATTTATTTGGTAATTTAATTATTTTTTGAGAAAGACAAAAACTATAGCAATAAATATAATTAACACTGACTTAATAATAGGTACTAATTATAACTTAGAACATAAATGAATAACTCATGACAAGGAAAGTGGCTCAGGACCATGCTTTGCGGCATTCTTTGGAGGAGGATGTTCAGTAGTGGACTTGTGAAGAGCTGTAATGATGATGATGATTCGAAAACTTGCACGATTGAGTTATAAGAAATCGACGCTTTTTATATGGGATACGGTGACAAACGAGCACACAGTTCACCTGATGGTAAGTGGTTGCTGTGGCCCACAGACATCTACATCTATTCTCGGTTACGAAACAAAATGCAGATGCGTTGTCACCCGTGAGGACTAAGATGGAATGCCTCGTTTCCTTTAAAAAGTGTCTCTGGTTCTCTACACTCACTATACGAAACACAGCATCATTAAGCTACTATTTTACATTGATATTCTGTGAGAGCGTGGTCCTTCCCCGGTCGAACCGACCCATTCGTGCTACAACTATACTTCTAATATAACTGCATGGTTCTACCACGTATAAACGACGTGCTTCATTTTTTTTTCATTTTAAAATTGTTCTCGTAATAATCTGATTGTAAATAAATGTTCATTATTATTTTTATAAATAGGTTACCGATTAAAACAAATGTTTAAAAATAATTAAATCGCGCTAATTAAAGTAGTAGGAATGTTTAAAGTTGAAATTGGCACTAAAAGGCTGGTAATTGGGTCATCCACCCTAAAAATCGTGAATATAAAATTTTAATCAGATGCGTGTAATCACTCTGGGAGCTTGTAGCAAACTAAACTCGCGGCCAACGTGTGGACGCGGCGACCAAACTCTGCCAACAATCCTTTGATCTTTTGTAAAAAACCGACACCACACGGATCTCGCGCCAACTTGCGGGCCATCGTTCCAATACATACCGATGAAGCATAAACACCCCGTCTACACGTTGGCCAATGCTATTGGCCACTACATTCGCCACTGTGTTGGCCAACGTGTAGAAGCGCCGTAACGTCGTTTCATTTCGGCAGACTTCGGCACTCGGCAGACTTCGGCACGGTGTTTGTATGCGTGCGACTAGGCGTATGCGTGTACACTAGCTGGTAACTCAATGATAAAAATTCCTGAATAACCTACATGTATTGTATGATATTAAAAATATTTTAAACAATATTAACTCCTCATTTATTCAATAAGAGAAAAAAAATGTTTTCTTATCGGTCACCACGCTCAAAAAGTGTAACTTGATTTAATATCAAAGACTTAACTGCATAAATAAAATAAATAAATAATTATAATTGCATAAGTTGATAAAAAATGCTATGCAATAGCTTTACCGCGGCAGTCACCGAGTGCCACACGTATTTTTTTCACTAAGTGTAGATGTTATGCGTGGTAGAGCCACGCTGCAGCTATATTATGGTAATAGGACGAATGGGTCGGCTCGACCGAGGAAGGACTACGCTCTCACAGATTACTAGCGTAAAATATCAACTTAACTTATCATTATATATGAAGAGTCCCGTAAAAGAAAATCATCATCATCATCATTACAGCCCTTCACAAGTCCACTGCTGAACATAGGCCTCCACCAAGTAATGCCACAAAGCACGGTCCTGAGCCACCTGCATCCATCGACTTCCTGTATGTCTTACCAGGTCGTCACTCCATCTAGTGGGGGGTCGAAGACATTTTAATTACGATAAACATTAACAATTTGAACCCTAAACCAATGATTATTGGTATTTATTATGGAAAAGAAAAACCACTAGACCTCAACGAATTCCTGTCACCATTAGTTGATGAATTGAACACAATTTAAAGCAAGGTATTAAAATTGGTGATTATACTGTTACGCGCTAAAGTCGACGATACACTAGCGCCATCTAGTGTCACGAACGAGAGCGAGGGGAGCTTTGCAGTGAATGACATCACAACCGACAGCGCCATCCGAAGAAACTAAGTTTCTAGAAAATCTATACTCGGACTCTCGGTACCTTACGCGTGTTTGCTTGAACATTCTGGATATTTGCTAATTTAAATAAGTAGGCGCTGCAAGGTGCGATCGAGGCAGTGTTGATTTGGGCGAAACAAGCGAAGTTTCGGGCGGAATTAAGTGAATTAGTGTGTTTAATTATTAGTGTTTTAACTTTAATTTGTGTAAAGTAAATTAAAGTGTTAATTTAGGTAATTTTATCGGCAATTTTTATTGTCACGAACCTCAAGCTCGTAACAATTGGTGTCAGAAGTGGGATAAAATCATGCCGATTTTACCTAAGAAGGAAACGGAGGGTGTCCGTACCCGAAGTCAACGCCAGCAGGAGACGGACCAACGAAGATTTGGTGGTGCAACGCCGCAGACGTCGGAGGACCAGCCACCGGCTGCAGGCCCGTCGGTAGCTCCTACATCTGCAGCACCTGACTTAGGTGCT